TTTACCCCGTTTTCCCCGTTTCCCCCGGTTCCCCGGTACCCCGGTACCCCGGTACCGGTAAACGGTAAAGGTAAAGGGAAAGGGTAGGGAGGTAGTACGTACGTACGTAGTAGTTAGTTATATATATATATATATATATATATATATATATATGGGAGAGAGAGAGAGGGTAGGGTAGCGTGTAGGGTTGTGTAAGAATTCACAACAGTGACGCACTGAAGTCCAGGTGAGGCACATCCGTCTGTGTCTACCAACGGGTAGGGTTGAGAACACAAAATATAAAAACTAATATGTGCAGGCAAGACAGCAGAAACACAGTCATGTATATAGATGGATTTATGCTTATACACCTACATGCCACCAATACACAGTTATGTATATGGATGGATTTGTGCTTATATACCTACATGTCACCAATATAAAAACTAATATGTGCAGGCAAGACAGCAGAAACACAGTTATGTATATGGATGGATTTATGCTTATATACCTTCATGCCACCAATATAAAAACTAATATGTGCAGGCAAGACAGCCGAAACACAGTCATGTATATGGATGGATTTATGCTTATATATCTACATGCCATCAACTTTGGAACATATAACCATGTTTTTGAGTTGGTTCCTGATTAAACACGTCCATGCCACCAAGTTGAAGTATAGAGCCATGTGGATTTTTTTCTCGTTAAATTTGTGTCTATGCACGTAAAGGCTACCTCTGTACATTTCTCATCCAGCGATACTACGGTGACGTGAGCTGTATGGCAGACTTTACACAGCGTTTGACCCTAGTACCCTTCCATTCCCATATTTAGACAGTGACTTCTACCAACACACTCACCACTACATTCAGTATACCTAATACGCTTTACATGGTACTTGCCTGTGCGTTGTCTCTCATATATATTCAGTGACTTCTACCTACACACTCACCATCACTACATTCAGTACTCCTAATACGCTTTACATGGTGCTTGCCTGTGCGTTGTCTCCCATATTTATACAGTGACCTCTACCCACACACTCACTATCATTACATTCAGTACTCCTAATACGCTTTCCATGGTACCTGCCTGTGCGTTGTCTCCCATATATATACAGTGACTTCTACCTACACACTCACCATCATTACATTCGTAGTCTCCCATGTATAAACAGTGACTTTTACCCACAACCTCACCATCACTACATTCTGTACACCTAATACGCTATACACGGCACTTGCCTGTGCGTTGTCGCTCCATGCATCGTCTGGGATGGACACGAGCGCAACACCACCCATCAGCACTACCAACGACGCCCATTTGAGCACCGTCAGATGTCTTCCCAGCATAACCACCTGTTGTGGAGATAGTGGGGTGCAAGAGACTATAGACTGAGTGTTTGCAATAAGTGCAATCATAACCACCTGTTGTGGAGAGTGTGAGGTGCAGAGACTATAGACTTAGTGTTTGCAATAAGTGCAATCATAACCACCTGTTGTGGAGAGAGTGAGGTGCAAGAGACTATAGACTGAGTGTTTGCAATAAGTGCTGTCACGTAGGATGAAGTGTTTATGGGTACCTGGTTGTGTATAGAGTGAGATTGACTGTCGATCTAGCGAGAGTGGTATGTGGCTAAAAGTATATCTGAATGTGTGTATACACATGTTCATGAAAGTGCTCACACACACAGACACACACACATATATATATATATATATACATATATATAAATACACACACACATACATACATACAAACGCACACACACACACACACACACACACACGCATATATACATATA